TCGCACCGTAAGGTGCCATCTCACTGGAGTCAACCCCATATATATATATATATATACATACATATATATAGACACACACACACACATATATATATTTATATGAAAAACTATTTTCTATCTAATTTTACTAAACATTTTTAACGATCAGCCAATTCATTATGCTAGTCAACCCAGCTAAACTAAACAGTTCACAACAGCTGGCACGAATCGCCAACTGACAACTGCTGACAGCCAACATCCAAACAAGGCCTAAACCCTAATCTCTTCCTCTTCCCTCTCGTTCTTCTATTCCACCGAACAAAGTGTCGTGCGATTCTCTCTTCTCTTCCTTTCCCCCAATTCTATAGCTCGGAGGTGTTCAACCTTCCCAATCCCGATACGATGCCGTATTTGCTATGGGTCTCTTTCCATTGTGCTCCACATGCTTGGAAAGTTGGGTACTCTCATTGGTTATGAGGTTACCTTTAAGAGAGTCATATGTCGTAATTTGAAAATCATATCCTTTTTTGGTAACATCAATCATAAACGAATTGATATCTAATCAAAGGCAATAAAAATGTAAATCACATAATACCAAAAATGTTGTCCCCCCTTATATTATAAGGGCCTATGACGTTTGTTGCCGTTACTTTGGCATTTTTTCTGTCACTCATAAGGCGCTTGCGCACCTCTTCCGTTCTTCTAATGCGGAGAAATAACATCTCTATCTCTATCTCCGCCACTTTTTCCTGTGTATCTGCTGCGATTTATCCAGGTAATTCTTCTCTCTTCTTCTCCTTCTTTTGCGTCTCTTCTTGTCGACTCCTTTCTCTTCTTTTCTTCTCCGCTTTTCTTTTTTTTTCTAAGAAAAAATCATACTTCTGTAAACCACCATGTCTTTGCAGCTTAATTTTTTTTTACGCTCAAACATTTTGTAAAATTAGGTTTTGTTCTTGCATCTATGAATTGATGATCACTCTAATTGAAAGTGTTAGGTTCTGTTTATATCTCTCTCTGCTATTTCTTATATTCACATGTTCAATTTCTAAACATATGTGCATGCAAAAGGTTTGCATTTAACAATTGATTAAGGTCGATTTTAAATTTGTTCACATGCTCAATATCTGAACCTGTCTGCAAGTAGTGCACAAGATTATATCTCTGCTGCTTAATTTTTATTCAAGAAGAATTAGAGCCTTGGGAAAACAAAAAATCTCTCTTCTTTCCCCGACAAGCCTTAGTAATAAGGCAATTTCACCCATTATAGATTTTGGTACCATGCATAATAAGACACTACAAAATTTCGCTAAATCTGCGATGGACAATTTCTGTCGCAAACTCTTTGTTTTGGTCGCAGAAATAGAAATTGCGACATGCCGGCATTTCCTTCACCTATTAGAGTTACAACATCATTGTTTTCAGAATTCAAATCTTCTTCTTCTTCAAAGTCTGCATTTCCTTCACCTATTAGAGTTACAACATCATTGTTTTCTAAAAAAATACAACTTACGTTGTCGCATTTTTTATAAGTTAAGAACTTTTTGTTAACAAAAATTTAAAAAAAATCCTAGAACCATATCAAATAAACATTTCCTAGAATCATAAATAAAATTCTTAGAATCAAATCAAAATTTCGTATGATAACAATATATGACTTAAAAATGCATATAAAAAAGCATACTCCCTCCGTCCCTGAGTGTTTGTCCACTTTCATTTTTGCACACCATCCAATGCTCTTCTTTAATCCATTTTATCTTGTAATTTGTATATTAAAAAATTATAAAAATTATATATTAATAATCTATATGTTAAGACGAATCAAACAAGATCACACATGACTATTTTTAGGTTTACACATTAAGAGAATTTGATGAGTCAAAGTGCTTAGATGAACAGTTCCAAAAGTCAAAAGTGGACAAACACTCAGGGACGGACCAAGTATGATAAATTTCCTAGAACAAATTTAATCCACTTTTAATATCAAATTTAACAAAAAATAGCAAAAACAAAACAAACTTTAAACACAATACTTTTTTTAATAATTTATAGTAAATCAAATCATTATTATCATACAATCACAAGAAAAAAGTGTCAAATAAATTTCATAATTCAATTGAGGGAAACAATTAAGGTTTTACCTGGGTCCGTGGACGTTGAACGGCGGTTGGGTGGGTGGGGGACCGGCGAACGGCGGACGATGTTCGGCGACAGCGATTCGAAGCTCGGTGGTGGAGGGCAGAGGACGGCGATGGGAGACGATGTGAGACCTGTGCGTTGCGTCGAAATCAGGCGCCTGGTTCAGAGACGAAGTGAGCCCGACTGAGCAAGGGATAAGGTTATATTTTAAACCTGGGACGGATATTACCCCATCGCAGATTCCGTTGCAGGCAATCCATTTAAAAATTGACGGTCAACTGTTTGCAACAGAATACATGTACCGTCGCAGATTTGCGACAGAATATATGATTTCGTCGCAGATTTTACCAAATTTGATATGTTCTTATTTTCGTCGCAAATTCCGTCGCAATTTGTGACGGATTTAATCCGTCACAAAAATTTCGTCGCAATTTGAATTAAATCTTGTAGTGAGAAAGGTAGCATGTGAAAGAATAAAAAGAATATGGTAATAATATGGTACAGTATAATAATAATAATAATTATAATAAACGTAATAATAATAAAGATAAGTTATAGAGTAATAATAATAATCATAATAATAAACATAACAATAATAATAATAATAATAATAATAATAATAATAATAATCGAGTAACAAATTATAGTGGCTTGAAGATTTCGATATGCAACAAACACAATGTTCCCATAAATTGTACGAATAATGCAGTTTACAAAAAGTCGTTTGAAATTTCTAAGCAAAACATTTTGTACCATAAAATAATACAATCTCTATATTCTATTACATATCATAATTTATCATTAAAAATGATTTTATTTTAGTAACGTAAGTATGACCCGTGTAGCGCACGGGTGTGATACTAGTAATCTTATAATTAGTATTAATATCATCATCATCGACAACAGCAACGTCATGTAGGGACCAACTTTTGATCTTCGTTTTTTATCATCATCATCATCAATGTCGTGTACGGACCAACTTTTAATCTTTGTTTTTTATTTTTGTGTAATCAAACTTTTAGTGGGTTTTATTATTACATTTTAATACACATAAAAAAAAATTATGAACCAAAGATTTTATTTTCAAAAAGCTATTGTATATAAAAATTAATGAATAAATTTATAACTCATGTGTAAACGAAGTTTCAATAAAAGTTGTAATTCTCCATATAATGTATATCGGTACACTATTTTGGGTATGATAGAAATTACATATACAGATGGAGAGGCATTGACATTGGCTATAACCTCACACAATTGAACCTGTTTGAGAAAAAATGTACTCTGTGATGTGAGAAATGATAATATTTTCATTTCAAATTAAAAATCTAATATTTCCATTACTTTTTTCCTAAGAAAATTATCTATACAGTGCATCAATCTGGAAATAATTCTATACCCACTTTGTCACGCTTTCAAGTGCATAAGCGATAGAAACGAAATAATCTATCTTCAACAACACGTGCTATTACTTTCTATGAAGGTAACTATACGGCAAATGTCTTTGTGTATTAACTAGCTATACGTATATGATATTATAAACAATGTACTTAAATACTACCTAATTCTTTTTTGTGTATGGTTACAGTGGAATTGGAAAACATTTCTATAGAAATCACTGTATTCTAAGGTCAAATGATAAAGTTGTCTTGAATGACGCATCAAGTGTGATTGCAGCATTGCTTTTGCCTGGGAAGGACACCACACGCGAGATTTCCAATTCCTTTGGCGCTAAGCTAGTGCTCAACATGTGCCATCAAACAAGGGAGCCTGAAAGTAGAACTAATCCATCAAGCAAGTCTAATCGTATGGGATGAAGCATGTATGATGAATAAATTTTCTTTTGAGTTATTGGATCGTACAATAAGAGATGTAATGAGGTTCTCTAATATAATAAAAACTCTATAAATGAATCATTCGAATGGAAAACGATTGTACTTGGAAGTGATTTGTAACAAATTCTTCTTGTTTCACCTAGAGCTTCGAGAGAGGAAATTGTAGGTGCTACAATCAATTCTTCAAAATTGTGGTCGTATTGTAAGGTTTATACGTTGACGAAGATTATGCGATTGCATTATCTACGTCATCTTGCGCAGATATACATACACAAACTTTTTTATTGGATAATCAAAATTGGAGATGGAAAACTTGGACAAGTGAGTGATGGAATAACTGAAATTGAAATTTTACTTGAATTCTTGATTCTAGACATGACTTCTCCCCTCAGGAGTATAATGAACTTCACTTAACCGAACCTATTGGAAGATAAGAAAAGTTATTCTTTTTTCGAGGACAAGGCACTACTAGCACCCACGCTCGAAGTTGTAGAAATGGTAAATGAATTCAATCTATCACGCATTCCCGAAAATGAAATGGTGTACTTGAGTTCTGATTTTTCATGTTAGGAAGATTCAAATGTAGGTGTTGTTAGCGATTGGATAATAGTTAAGTTTTTGAATGAAATCAAATGGTTAAGGATTCCAAACCATAAGTAGTTATAAAAAAAGGGTGTATCAATTATGTTACGTTATTAAGAAACCTTGATAACATATCTAGACTATGTAATTGTACAAGATTAATTATTGACAAGTTGCGAAAGAACGCTATTAGTACTATTATGATTTTGTGAAATCAAGTGGGAAAAAAACTTTACATGCCCCAGATCAATTTGGTAGCATATGATACAAGACTACCCTTGAAGTTCTAGAGAAGACAATTTCTAATAGCATGTTTTGCCATGACTTAACAAAAGTAAAGGTCAAATATTGTCATTTGTTGATTTATTTTTAACCAAGTTAGTGTTTACTCATTGTCAGCTTTATATTATTATTTCGCGAGTGAAGATAAAGATATGATTAAATATATTGGTCCTAGATGATAATGGAAGCCTACAACAACAACAACAACAACCCAGTTAAATCCCACAAGAGTAGGGTCTGGGGAGGGTGTGTGTACGCAGACCTTGCCCCTACTCGAAAGTAGAGAGGCTGTTTCCAAAGAGACCCCCGGCTCAACGTCGAAAGTTGCATTGCTTGACTAACTGCTACTTCATTAATTAAAGAAGCGCAGATAGTTTAGAGATCCATTTTGATTTATTCCATCACACCCCAAAGCCAAAAAATGGTGAAATTTTGGCTCCATCGGAGATGATGGAAAAATGATAATGGAAACCTATGCAACTAAATTAAAAATGTTGTATAGCCTTAAATTGTTATTTTGTACACACATTCAATTCCTCAATAATTATTTATTTCACTTTGGTTTTTTATATATGACATTAAAAATCATGCGAGAAGTATATTTTCTTTATTCCAGAAAAAATAGTACATTAATTTTTTTAGAATCGATAAAAAATTTTGTTCAACCCCGTGCATGGAATACTAGCATTTTGAAATAGAATACTTTATTGGAATTTGGAAAGCACCTGATAACCATTCATTTTTATTTACTTTATATTTACTTATTTTTTTCCTAAAAAAATGGAAGTAGAAAAATGAATTTTTTTAAATGGGAAATGACCATTCTTTGTTTCTCTTGGATTGGACTTTGCGTCAAATGCTTAGTGGGTTGTCGAAGCCCCAAAATAGGCGCCCGCATAATCACGGCCTAAAACCTAATCTCTACCATCACAAATTACCTTGTTCAAAGGAGAAATCGCCCGGGCGCCCCTCGCCGTCCCAAATTACCTGGTGATTACGGAGGTGGTTTTAGATGAGGCAGGGAAAAAGAAGATCCGGCGGCGGTGGTAGGGAGAAATGGATGCTTCGCAGACACATTGAAACATGTAGAAGCAAGTATTCTACCGTCGAGCAGATAGTAGACCATCTCCGTTCTACTTTTTCCAACTACAGCCGGCTTAAGTTGCAGCCATTCAGCAAGCGTGTTGAGGATGTTCTCCAAACCATCAATTCTAGATGCAGCTTGGTAGAAGACAACAGTTGTGCCAGCGAGGATGAAACGAACCGCCCGAGAAAGATGCCAAAGAGAAACGACGTGAACGAGATGCGATTGCAAGACATTGAAGCTCAACATCTTAGGAATGCTCGTAGGAAGCAAGCTACAGGCGATGAATTGTCATCTCATGATGCAGAATCTTCGTCAGAGAGTGAGAGTGACTGTACTCCTACTTCATCCTCATCCATGGATGCTATTTACGGAGAGAAAGTTGAGCCAAAACACGATTTGATGAAGTCCATGCTCCGTGATCAATACAGTGAACAGAAGGGGAAAACGTCCCCTAAATCAAACACTAAGGTAATGGAAGTGGAGGATGTTACTAACAGTGGTAAGGTGAATAAGAAACTTGCGCTAGTGGAAGGAAGGACAACGTTACCATCTTCACCCGCTTTTACCTATGGTAAAAAGGAGCCAGGACTTGGGAGTGACGTTAACAAGCCAAATGTTGGACCAAAGTTTAAAGACCTAGGAGGAATGGGCTCTGTGATAGAGCAATTGAAGATGGAGGTGATGGTTCCATTGTACTGCCCACAACTGTTGAAACATCTAGGAATTAAGCCGATGTCTGGTATTCTCTTTTATGGGCCACCAGGGTGTGGAAAGACAAAGCTAGCTCATGCAATTGCGAATGAGACAGGAGTTCCCTTTTATAAGATTTCTGCTACTGAATTGGTCTCGGGGATTTCAGGTAAAACAAACATTTGTTTTTTTGTTACTCGCTCTGTCCCATTTTGAGTTGCCTGTTGTTGTTTACGATGTTTAACTAAAGTTATTTTTAATTGAATTTATATGAAAATTGGGGTAGAATTAAAAAATAAAATTTATATGTTTAAAAACTATATCGAAAGTTCTACAAAACAAGAGGTGACATGACTATATTCTTTTATCAAATGAGTGATAAATGTGATAAAAGTTTGACTCTTTAAAAAGTAAACGGGCAACTTAAATTGGGATGGAGGGAGTGCTTGTTTTGTTTTGGCAGTTGCATTATATATGAAGTGAATTTTTGGCTCATTAATAAAATTGGCTGATGTCTAAGATAATAATAAGTTAATAACAGTGTCATCCTTTATCTAAGTGTTAGCGTGGAACGATAAGGGCACGCTTGATGTATTTTTAAAGATATATGAGTTGTATTGTGACCATTTACCCAGGGAACCCGATTCGAACAAAGATTTGTTTGGTTTCTGATATAGTGATATTCTTTTAGGAAGGACTGTGATTGTTTCTTTTCTTCAGATTAAACCGGATTGTAGTTTACCTTGCTTTTATAAGTTTATTAGCTGACTTTTGTGCTGAAGTTTTACTTAGAGAATAAATGTTGCTTATTGCAGGAGCATCAGAAGAGAATATACGTGAACTATTCTCAAAAGCATACAGGACGGCACCATCTATTGTATTTATTGACGAGATCGATTCCATTGCTTCAAAAAGAGAAAATGTGCAGAGGGATATGGAACGCCGAATTGTAACACAATTGATGACTTGCATGGATGAATCACATACAACTGTGGAGCGTACAGATGGGAATTCTTCTTCTCAACACTCAGATGGCAGACATGGAAATGCAATGCCAGCAGATGAAAAATCCAACTATGTTTTAGTTATTGGTGCTACAAACAGACCCGACTCCATTGACCCTGCATTGAGGAGGCCTGGACGATTTGATCGTGAGATTGTTTTAGGTGTTCCAGATGAGAATGCTCGGTTTGACATTTTGTCTGTGCTGACATGTAATCTTAGAGTCAAAGGTGCTTTTGATCTCAGAAAGATAGCAAGGTTCACTGCAGGATTTGTTGGAGCTGATTTGGTTGCATTGACTAATATGGCTGGTAACATCGCAATGAAGAGAATTATAGACCAGAGAAAGACTGAGCTCTCTGGAATACCTGTAGATAGTGAACAAAATGAAGAGTGGTGGAAGGAACCATGGTCTCCTGAAGAGATGGAAGAAATTGGCATTACCATGGCTGATTTCGAGGTGTTTAATGAGTTCAGTTCATCAATCATGTGTCAATTGATTAATTTCTTCATCCATATGGTCTTGCTCATAAAAATTGGCATGTTTGTTTTTAGCTTTTACAATATTCCCATTCCGGATATTTATCTTCTGATAATGCACCCACCTCCCTTTTAAATCCTCGAATTCTTGATACTTTCTTTTTTAAGTGGGCTTAGATGTCTTATCTATAGCCTGATTGGTTGCAGGGAGCAGTTAAAAGGGTTCAACCTTCTTCTAGAAGAGAGGGATTTTCTGCCATTCCAAATGTTAAATGGGAAGATGTTGGAGGGCTTGGATGGTTGAGGGTGGAGTTTGACCGTTGCATTGTTAGACGTATTAAGTATCCCGAAGTTTATGAGGTAATCATATGTATTAATTTTCATTCATTTCACGAGGTTGACATGTGCATTGTTCTTCATGCCTTCATACAACCATTCCTGAAGTTCCCCCCTCTTTTATGTCCTGCACCACATCCCCTGAGCCTGATGCAACTTGTTCTCACTAAGCTCCATATATGTTGGGTTTTTGTGTCTTTTGATTATTGTACTTTACTACGTTTTTTGGGATAACCTGTAAATAATACGGAGTAATATAGAAACCTAATAGAGAATATACATGTGTAGGACAAGCATCTCTAAACAATCACAGCCAACACGGCGTACATCAGAAATAAATGGTGCAATGAGGATAAAGTCATAAAGTTTATAAACTTTATTCACCCACACTTGCACCTTAGCAATGATACTACAAACATCAAATGAAAGACTATCAAAGTGAAGAGTCTTCCAAATTGTGAAAACAATGATGACAAAGGCTAGTTGAGCTGCACTCTTCCCATAGTTATGAAAGGCAAGCGCCATGCTCGCCTATGGCGCTGTGGCGAGGGTATGGCACCTGAAATAGGCTAGGCATGGCGATGTGCTTGAGGCGTGTAATGGCGTTCGCCGTTCTCGCTGGAACGTATGGTGAATGGCATTCACAATTCCCGCCTTTCAGATATCGGTCAATCTTTTTCACTGTTCTGCCTTAATCGAGTAATTAAATTGGGCTTGAGCCCATTTGTAATTAAATGATCTGATCTATTACCTTAAGTTGATTGTAATCCCTGCTCGTCTCGTGTCAATTGCCATTCCGGTCTTCCACTCTCGATCGTCTTTTCCAATCTTCCATCGATTCACCTTCCCAACTTCGACACTGCTCCAATCACAGGTTCCAGAGTCGCAAGACCCGCAACTTCCAAGCGTTGCACCTCCCTGTGTCGATTCTCCTCCAACACTCCAGTAGACAGCACAGCAACATCAGGCCACAAAAGTTCAGGATATTATTCTTAATTAGTTTTTTTAATTTGTGTTTTATTCAATTAATTAATATTAATAGTTACTATTATACTTTCAATTTGTGCATTATTCTTTAAATTTAGAAAAATAATGATTTTTTCTTTTACAATACTCCCTCCGTCCAGTAATGATGTTCCCAGTTTGACTTTTATTCATTTTTAAGGAGTGTTGACTTAAGAATGAAAATGTCTAAAATACCCTTCTTATTTTCTTTGATTTGCCACTTGAACCACTACCCCAACCCTAGCTCCCTGAACTACCACCCAGCCACCATTGTTGGCCTCCGCCACCCCCTGCCGCCCGAGCCCCCACTGCTGACCGCCACCTCTGCCCTTACACCATCACCGTCAACCCTAACAACAATCGTCGCCGCCCCAACATCTCTGCCAGACCCAATCACCATTGCACCACGCCCACCACCACCAATCGCACCATCATCCCCAGCTACTACCATAGCCACTGTTGGGAGAAAGAGAAAAAGGAAGGGGGAAGACGAGAAGAAGAAGATTAATCATAGATCTCCGCTGATCCACCACCATCCCAACTCTCACGACCGCCATCTGTTACCACATCGCCGCAGAGAAGAAGCAGCAGAGAGAGAATAGAGGGAGTAGATCTTTCAGAGAAAAGAGAGAGAAAGAAAATAAAAAAAAGATCGGATAAAGGACATGAAGCAAGATGAGAGAAGAAGAAAAGGTGGAAGATGAAGGGAGAAGGGGGAAACACAAGGTTGAGAGAGAGAGATCGGATGAAGGGGGAAACACAAGCTGACAAAAAAGGAACGGAGAAAAAAGACAAAAGAAAAGAAATTTAATGAGGGGTATTTTTGGAAGAAATGTAATAAAAAAGTAGAATGAGAACATAATTTCCGGACGAAAAAAAGAGTAGAATGGGAACATCATTCCCGGACGGAGGGAGTATTATTTATTGTGATTTTTGTTTTCCTTTGACAATTATATATTGTTTAAGACTTTGATATGCCCATAGTTGTGAATGGTGAATAGCGAGTGGTGGGCGAGAGGTTATTTTTTATGGCGAAAAGCGTGGCGAGCGGCGGGCGGTCAAATGGCGAACATTATATAAATAAATAAATATAATATACATATATATAATTATATACGGAGTATATAATTATATATATATATGTATATATATATGTATATGTATATATATATAATTATATATATATGTATGTATGTATGTATATATATATATATAATTATATATATATAATTATATATATATATTTACATATATACATAATGATATATAACACAATAAAAAACAATAAAGAAATATAGGTTGATTGCATTGAGAAATTATAATAATCATCATTAGAAATTATATGGGTTAAAAAAACATAATAAAATAAATAAATTAAAAAATATAAGAATAAAATTGGGGACTTGCGCTTAAGAGGGGTGTGACCTGGTGTGTCGCGCAGTTGCGTAGCCCAAGGAAAAAAATTCTGATAAAAAAAAGTTCTGCTGAGAGCCCGAGATCTGAAGTGCTATGATGTCTAGAACCACTTGCGCTGAAGATGAAGTGATATATATATCTGGGAGCAGGCCCGAAGACCGTCCGTAGCCCGCCAGGGGAAAGACGGATCAGGGGAATAAAGCCCAAGTGTGATGACATTAATTGGGTTGAAACTTCTCCATTTTCCTGTCTTAGAACCCAACCCAACACCATGGTTGTCCTACACCCACCCTAGGCTGAGCCCACACTCCCATACCTTCCCTAAACATCCAAAATATTTCCTTTTCAAAATAAAGTTTTTCCTACTCTTATTTTAGCCATGGCCGAAAATAAGAGTGTATAAACCAAAACCTTTTTGTTTGTTGTTATTTTCCTTCTTTTAAGCCTTTTAATAAACCAGTAAAACCCTCTCTTCCTTCCTTTCATTCCCTGGCCAAATAAACCTCACAATCCCAACACAACACCCACAAAGAGCCAAAACCATGACCCACCTCCAGCCCCTACTTCCTGCCCATGTTTTCCCTCACAGTAACCCAAAGCCATAACTCCAAAATACCCATAAATAGTACCCAGCCCTGTCCCCTTTTAATGACCAAAAACAACCCCTCTTTTATTCCCCAACATTGACCAACCATTGTCCCCCTTGTGTCTCCCACCTAGGCTGAATAAACAATAACTAAAGGACAAAAGACTTTTGTGAGTTTATTGACACTCCACCCACCAAATTAGTCCCCACATACCTTCCATGAATGACCCAATATAAGGCCAATAAAACCAACCCCTTTGTCCCCCATTCATAGTTATCACGGCGCCAAGGCGAGGCGCGGCGCCAATGTATCGCCATGACGCCTAGACGCCTAGGCGAGCGCCTAGGCGACAAATAATATATATATATATATATAAAATATTATATTATATTATATTATATTATATGTTTTTTCAGAAATAGAAAATAAAAAATAAAATATGAAAACACTGATAGAAGACATCTTCTAATTACAGAAAATATATAGTAAAACATAACGCATATAGGGTTAATTTTAAAGGAAAATATGAAGTCCTAGTGGCTGGGAATTTAAGAGAAGCTGAAAAGCCTAAATACAAAGTCGTACTGGAATAGTCATACGGGAATAGTGCTAGTCGCTAAGAATTCCGTCAAAATTGAAGGGTCGGGTCGGGTCGGCTAGCATCCTAATTCTCGGCTCTCTCGCATCTGATCCGACAAGATCGCAAACAATAAGTCGATCGTAATTCCCAGGCTGGATTTGCGAAGTCAAGAAGGAAGTGAGGCAGACAGAACAACGACCCAATTCAGCTCCAGAGAAGGACATCTAAGATCAATTGGGCTAGGAATTTTTTTTATTTCACGGCGTAAGTCGCCCCAGGCGTACCGACTGGACGTCTAGGTGTCTCTGCGGCGTCGACTAGGCGAGCTCCGAAAATTAAGTCGAGTCGAAGGAGCATGGCGAGAAAAAAGTTCCGACTGGACGCCTAGGCGACGCCGTAATAACTATGCCCCCATTATTTCCCAAGAATCATCACTTATTTCCTTGTGATTTTCTTCACTAAAGGACGGGCCACCAGCCATGAAAATCAAAGACCAAATCCCTGATTTCATTCCATTAAGAAAACATAAACAAATGGATATTATTCTTGTGATTTGTGAGTGGATGTTTCTGGGAAGTTTCCCCCCTATGTGTGTGTATTTATTTCGGCCTNATTGTAATTCCATTTTCCATTTAGTAATACACTTGTTGTGTTTGCTATTTAAATTCCTAAATCTATATCTTAAGAGTGGTTATCTTAAGTGTGAGTTTTAGGTTCTAGATATTTAATTAAGTGTGTTATATCTTAATTAAGTTCTAGACTTAACCCCAAGTTAAGATAAGAGTGTGTAATATCTCTTAAACACCAACTTGGTTTATCCCTTCATTTTAGCTCTTCCCATTTCATATCTCTCCATTTCTTCTTCTTAAACTTAATTCTTTTCTTTCATCCAAAAATACCAAAAAGAACTCCTCCTGCATATATCACCATTTCACCCAGGCCTCTTCGAACATATCTCCTGCATTTTCCTTTGCATTCTCAAGCCAAGAGAACACCCATACCTCCCCTTTTCATCCCTCACCAACTCGGCCTATAACACTGCCCATTCATTTCCTTTACCAATTCCTCATCAACTTTCCAACTTGATAAGACCCCCGGATCACCCCTAACATGAAGAGTCTGCGAAGGACTCTGGAGAAGTTTATCGATCATTAATTAGGTCAAACACCCAAGGCGTGGATGGCGCACGCCATTCGCCAAACACCCAGGCGGCCATGGCGACCGCCAATGGCGCGCCTCACGTAAATCGCCACGCCACTGTGAAGACTGGCGGAATATGGTCGCCACAAAGCCTTTAGCGCCATAAGCGTAAAAAGCGCTCGCCATTCACAACTATGGATATGCCATGCATTATACACACACACACACACTTTTTGTTTGTTCACCATTTGACCCCCCCGCCACTCACCACGCCTCTCGCCACAAAAAAGGTCCTC